TTTACAAAAAAATAATAATTACATTAACCAACTCTGAAAATAAAAAAGTTATATCTATTGATCATAATAAATTTTTTTCTTATGACAATAGATGAGGCATTTAGGTGGGATCTGACGGCGAAAGTTCCGTAGGCACCAAAACTTTCTTCCTTATATCCCTTTCAAACGCCAACTTTATTGCCTATGAAAGTTGTATAGATAGTTAGGTTATTTAAAAACGACTATTTTGACACTAATGTTGTTACCAAAACATGTTGACAAATATTCCCATCATAAAATTTCGACGATTAGCAATTAGATTCCTATGCCGATTAATCAATTTTGAAATATATGTTCTATGTTTTATACATTATATATATAAGTACGTACATCCATATATACATATACATTTACATGATTTATATATATCAAACTAAAAAAATAAATCTTATGTGAACACATGATTTATATGATTATATTTATTGTAATTTGTAGAAACATTAAGTCTCTTAGAGTATCGCACCCTCTACAAGGCTGTGGCAAAAGGTGATTGGGATAGTATAAAAGACTTCCTGGATAGAAACCCCACGGCTATTAGGGCAAAAATTACATTAAATGGTAGCACTGTTTTCCATGTTGCGGTTATAGCTGGACAACCTGCAATTCTGGAGAAGTTGTTGGAAATGTCAACAATAGAAGACTTAGAATTGCAAAATGATATGGGGTACACAGCCTTCGTAATTGCTGCCATCAATGGTTTCAAAGATATGGTTGAGGCAATGTTTATAAGGGATGAAAATTTGATTAATATTAAGGAAAAACATGGCCTAATTCCAATTGTTGCGGCATCGGTTGCTTGCTCAACAAAGGTTGTACGTTATCTTTACCCAAAGACTCCAGATGAAATGCTAAGTCCAGAACATCCTGATAGGAGTGGTGCCACACTTCTCAATTGTCTCATTGTTGATGACATTTATGGTGAGTTTAATTATAATTCATTCTTATTTATTAAACGTAAGAGGTCGGTTCTTATATAAAATTTGCATATAAGGTTTATTGAATATCAAGACAGCTTAATCAAAGAATCTCTCTCTCTCTCTCTCTCTCTCTCTCTCTCTCTATATATATATATATATATATATATCTTGTTTATTCAAATCAAAGTTTTAATTTGCAGATTTAGCTTTACATCTATTGGGAAGAAACCCACAACTTGCTTTTGTGGAAGATCTTTATGGAAACTATGCTATTATATCACTAGCTCAGAAAACTTCTGCATTCCCAAGTGGAAACAATTATGTGTTTTGGAAACAATGGATTTACTCACGTAAGTGCTATTGCTTTAATTTTTTTATATAAAGTTGACATTCCACCTAAAAGTTTGAGTTAACAAGTGAAGATAATAGTCTAATAGACCTTCTCACATGAAAAATCATTTTTTTTTTCTTGATGATTCGAACTTTAGATATATAGTTTTATATCATAAATTACTGTTTAAACTTTTTTTTCTTTTGTCTGCAAGGTATAAGAGTAACTCCCACTCTATATGGTGATGAATATTCAAGATCAAATGATGAGGAAAGCGGTATAAGGATACTATTGGAACCAAATATTCAACAAGGTAAGAGGTTTTTTTTTTTTCAATTCATTAAATCTATAAATTCATTTTGCTAATCTATTTTAAGTATTTATAGCATTTGCCATTCTTTTGGTACAGTGGTTCTCAAGAAGTTGCGTGGGCTAGTTTGGAAATTGTTGACATGGATTGGTACGTATGTTGGAACTCATACATGAAATTAAGCTTTAATCTTTGGTATTATATTAAATTCTTTTTTAATTATATTTGTATTGATTTGCACTTTGTAGTCCCTGATATAAGTAACATATACAAAAGAAAGTCAAATCATATTGAAGCTAAGAAATTTCTGAAAAGCATAATCAATCACATACCAAGATTAAGCATGGAACAGCTTCAAAAATTTGGGTGGGATCAAGCAATAAACGATGCTATCAAAAATGGCATATCTGAATTCGTCGATGAGGTGATTGAATCTACCCCAGAATTGATATGGAAGAAAGATGAAAAGGGTAGAACAATTTTTGCAAATGCAATTGTGCAACGCCAAGAAGATATTTTCAGCCGAATATATGATTTGAGTGCAAATATGCACGCCATTATACAGCATGATATCTTTCACAACAACTTTCTCCATTTAGCTGCAAAGCTATCCCCTCCCTCTCGACTAAGTCGTATTTCCGGAGCAGCTCTGCAAATGCAAAGAGAGTTACAATGGTTTGAGGTATGTAATTAATTAAAAAAAAATGTAATGGACTGCATTAATTTCAAATCAATAATATTTTATTTACAACCAAGTCATACAAACAGACAAAAATTGCACAAAATTTATATAAAATAATTACTCTATTCTTTGTTTTTTGTCTGTTTGTATAACTTAGTTGTATGACTCAGTTGTAAGTATGGCATTGTTTATTTCAAATAAAGTAAAAAAATTAAATTACTATTGACGGACCTTAATTTCAATATTTATTTTCAGGAGATGAGAAGTATGTTACCACCAAAGTACATGGAAGAAGTGAACGAAAGCAACAAAACACCTAGTGAATTGTTCACTGAAAAACATCAGATATTAGTGCAAGAAGGAGAAAGATGGATGAAGAACACTGCAGCCTCATGTATGGTTGTGGCGACGCTAATTGCTGCGGTTATGTTTACAACAGCTTATACAGTTCCGGGCGGTAACAATGAGAAAGAAGGAACCCCAATTTTCTTGAAAAAAGACGTATTCTTAATCTTTGTTTTATCAGATGCATTATCTTTGTTCTCTTCTTGTGTTTCTGTGTTAGTGTTCTTAGGAATCCTCACTTCTCGTTATGCAGAAAAGGATTTTCGGAAATCCTTGCCTACCAAACTTATAATTGGTCTTTCCTCTCTCTTCTTTTCCATAGTAACCATGATGGCAAGCTTTGGTGCTGCCATTGTTTTGATCCTTCAAGATCGTTTACATTGGGTATCCGTTCCTATTATTGTTCTTTCCTCAATTCCAATTGCTCTTTATTCTTTCTTCCAATTTCCCCTTCTCATTGAGGTATTTTTTCACACATATGGAGTCAGTATCTTTGACAATAAAAGAAAGCGCCAATATGCCCAAAAACTCAAGGATTTGACAGAAACTTGAGATTGCTTTTTTTTTTTTTTTTTTGGCTTTTCACATTTGTATACTACATGTTGTTTTATGTAACTTTTTCATTTAATAACTTTTTTATTTAATATATGAGCAATCGTTGATATTACATTTCCCTTCATTTTTTTTCATCATTGTAATTCCCAAACCTCTGGATATTTAAGTTTGGATGAATATTATTCAAAATAAAGCTCCACTCAATCGGAAGATTGAAAAAGAATAAAGCATTAATTATGCGTCAATAAGCTTAGCCATTCCGATTGGAAAGAAGCATATGAAACAAAAGAAAAAAGAAAAAGCATTTGATGAATCACTTAAAATTTACTAAAGCTACTTAATGTTTGACAGTTTCCAAATTAATAAGATTTTCAATCGCTTAAGAACGAGGGATTTGTCCCCTTAATAACTTCTGGAGCTAAACTTCGAATTTGCGCTTAGATATTCCCAGTTATGCCAGTAGTTTTTGCTCTTTAATGCGGAGGATCTATTTTCGGGGAATTTATTAGACCTTTCCCCATAGAAACACACAAATCTAGTAAGTTAAAAATTTTCAATTGCATGAAAAAATTAATACTTGAAAAAAAAGAAGTTAATTTAACAAATGATATACTAATTAGGAAAGGGTTCTGCAGAGTACCTTTTTTTTTTGGGTGAATATAATACTCCTACCCTAATGTAAATGTGGATGTTAAAAAACTTATGCAATTACACTTGGATTAATTTAGATATTAATTTTGTATACAAATTGACATAGTACAAAATGAACACAGTTAATTTATTATTTTCATCCTAACTTAAGTATTATTGGTTTAATATTATATTAAACATTCACCTGTTATTTTAAACTTTTACGTAGAATGACAACTTAATATAACATCGGTTAGTGAAGAAGAAAATCAGCGGATTTCGTTAGTCTGTCGTTAGATTACTGTTACTTCTGTTAAAACTTCCGTTAGATTATTGTTACTTCTATTTACGGGTGTAAAAGGGTATCTTTCTTGTAAATAGTACACTGTTCTTCTCAATCCAGATCAGTCTGGAAAATTCCAGATTTTTGCTCTCAATTGTCGGTGTTGGGTAATCACTTTCGTGGTATCAGAGCCATCGACAAAGGTAAAAAATGGCCGATCTTCTTGCTTTTTCTCTTGTTCCATACAATCCAGAAAAGGATTCATGTTCTAATGTAGTTGCCTTCTCCTCTATTGAAGTTGAGTACAGAGTTTTAGCTCACACAGCAATTGAGATAGCTTGGTTNCTTGTAAATAGTACACTGTTCTTCTCAATCCAGATCAGTCTGGAAAATTCCAGATTTTTGCTCTCAATTGTCGGTGTTGGGTAATCACTTTCGTGGTATCAGAGCCATCGACAAAGGTAAAAAATGGCCGATCTTCTTGCTTTTTCTCTTGTTCCATACAATCCAGAAAAGGATTCATGTTCTAATGTAGTTGCCTTATCCTCTATTGAAGTTGAGTACAGAGTTTTAGCTCACACAGCAATTGAGATAGCTTGATTATAGAGTATGTTCTTTGAGTTGGGTTTAAATTAAATACTCCTCCTGTAATCTAGTGTGATAATGTAAATGAAGGAGCATTAGCAACTGATGAAACTACGATGATGAAGGTGTATGGAAGGAAAGGTAAGGGAAAAGGGATGTGACAGGAAGATTCTTATTGTAGAAAAGTGTCAAGGAGTATATTTGGGCTGGGACAGATGGCATATACGGGTTGCAGGAAAGGAAATTCGGTTATTAAGAGAGAATGAGATGAGAATAAAAGAAAGGAGAAAGAAAGAACGGTTTTATCAAAGAAGAAAATAGAAGGGATTCGGGAGGAACTAGCCCTCGAAGTCTGGTAATTGGGGAGGAGTTGGGCCTCGAAGTCCAACATTATTCTTGTTTCTTCGGTTGAGTTTTCCAGTTTGTTTTTCGTGTTGGTAGCTTTGCTAGTTTCTATTTTATGTGTATTTTCTTTCTGGAATATCAATAGAAGTGTTGGTTTTCTTCTTGTTCTGGGTTTTGGCTACTGAGTGTGTTGTTTTTCTGGGTTTATATTGTTTTATTACATGCTGTTTCTGTTGTTGTTGGCTGAGTTGGGAGAATATCTATCAGCAGCCCATCCTGTTTTTCATGCCAGCATATAGAAATCAATGCACATTATATAAGGGACCAAGTTTTTGCTAAGAAGATTGTAGTGCAATATGTTCTTTGAAAACTGCAAATTGCAGATGTCCTAACTAAGGCATTGTCAGTTACTCAATTTCATGAGTTAAAAGAGAAGCTTAATGTTATAGTTGTGGATGATCATGAAGAGACAACTGCAAAATGAAAAATTTTCATACTAGAGTGCTGGGAAGTGTTTTGCAGATTGAAGCAGCAGGTTGTAGTCAAATTGAAGAAGCAGTTTGTAATCTGATGTTGCTGGTTCAAAATAATAGTCTGAAATGAGGTGTTATGCACATTGAAGTAGCAGTTTGTAGTGTGGTGTTTCGGAATAGTAGTCTGAAATGAGGTGTTAGGCAGGTTGAAGTAATAGTTTGTAGTCTGGTGTTGCTGAAGTTTGTAGTTTGGTGTTGCGGAAGTTTGTAGTCTAGTGTTGCTGAATATTAGTCTGAAATGAGGTTTATGCAGGTTGAAGTAGTAGTTTGTAGTCTGGTGTTGCTGAATAGTAGTCTGAAATGAGGTGTTATGCAGGATGATCTAGTAGTTTGTAGACTGGTGTGGCTGAATAGTAGTCTGAAATGAGGTGTTATGCAGGATGATCTAGTAGTTTGTAGACTGGTGTTGCTGAAGTTTGTAGTCTAGTTTTGCTGAATAGTAGTCTGAAATGAGGTGTTATGCAGGTTGAAGTAGTAGTTTGTAGTCTGGTGTTGCTGAATAGTAGTCTGAAATGAGGTATTATGCAGGTTGAAGTAGTAGTTTGTAGTCTGCTGTTGCTGAAGTTTGTAGTCTGAAATGAGATGTTATGCAGGATGAAGTAGTAGTTTGTAGTCTGGTGTTGCTGAAGTTTGTAGTCTGGTGTTGCTTAATAGTAGTCTGAAATGAGGTGTTATACAGGTTGAAGTAGTAGTTTGTAGTCTGGTGTTGCTTAAGTTTGTAGTCTTGTGTTGCTGACTAGTAGTCTGAAATGAGCTATTATTCAGGTTGAAGTAGTAGTTTGTAGTCTGGTGTTGCTGAAGTTTGTAGTCTGAAATGAGGTGTTATACAGGATGAAGTAGTAGTTTGTAGTCCGGTGTTGCTGAAGTTTGTAGTCTGGTTTTGCTTAATAGTAGTCTAAAATGAGGTATTATGCAGGATGAAGTAGTAATTTGTAGTCTGGTGTTGCTGTTTTTGAAATAGTAGTCTGCAATAAGGTTTTATGATATTCAGCTTCAAATGGTGACTGAAGTAGTTTGTGTGTTGGTGTTTATAATTGGTAACAGCAATTGTATTTTAGAAGTGATGCAGCAGTGATGAAGTTGTGATAGTTGAAGTAATTTTGTCAGCTGGAGTAATTTTGCAGTAGTGGTGGAGTTGTGATGGAATTTTTTCAGATAAAGTAATTTTGTAGCAGGAATGGAGTTGTGATAGCTGGAGTAATTTTGCAGCTTTTATGGAATTTTTTGTTAGCTAGAGTAATTTTGCAGTAGTGGCGCAGTTGTGTCAGTTGAAGTTTTAATGGTAAATTGAATAAGTTAAATAGCAGAATGGTGATTTTAATTACAAAACTATGCAGTGATGAATTTGATGGTGTTCTGAAATTCTTGTAGTAGTTTGCTGGAGTATTGCATTTCTTTGAAAAAGTTTCTGCTGGAGAAGTTTTGTTCTTTTTCAGATAGTTTGTTGGTGGTTTGAAGACACAGGCAATCTGGCTTAAGAGGGAGTATTATCCTTCAGAAGAGTAAGTATTAAGAGAAAATTTGAACAAAGTCAAATGAATTAAATTTACACGGTTTGGTTTGAGGGGGAATGTGGACCAAAGTCTCAATTGTCAGAGTTTACAGGTCACTTTGTAATTTTTTTAAAGAGTGCTAGAAGCTTGTTGAAGCAGTTAATGTTAAACTGATTATTCTCTCTTTTATTTTTCTACTCACTATAACGTAGCCAATCTATCTATTGTCATGATGTATCAAATCAGTTTAGATATCAAAATTTAGAATTATGAAGATGACACTCAACCCACTAATATGATTATAAATATATTTCTGAATATAATGAGAAAAAGAAAAAGATTTATAAGCAACTAATCTGCAGAAAGCTGTTAAAATATGTAAGCTAGATCTGTTTCTCTTTGTATGAAAAAACGTCAGATCCTTCTATTTATAAGCGGAGTATGCTACAAAACATTAATAGAAAATTATTTAACATATAGTTTGAATTGATTTATTATGGGAAATTACTATACAAGTATTTTCATGTTATGAAATATTTTGAACAATATGTCAATGTTTTAATAACCAATCCGGGGTGAAATCCAGCAAAGTTGCTGGGTCCCGGGTTGGGTGGTTTGACCAGATGGTCAAATCGGATGACAAAAATTTTAAAATTTAGTAAATATACCCTAAACATGTTAAGTCCCTACAGGATTGAAATTTAACAAACACACCCCACATACAAATTGGTGGTCGATTGGTTGGCTGTGGTAACACATCAGATACAATCTCAATCATCTGTTGAGCCCATTCCCTAGAAAATCTACCCCATATCTAGCCAAAATCGATTCGATTTCAATCAAATCTCACCAATATCGACATCGACATTGGAGGCTAGGTCTCACTGATGATGGCATCGACAACCCTCCTTATCACCACGAAAGTACTGCCCTTAGCCTCCTGACTAAATCCCATCTCACCTTACCTCTGTTAGCCTCACCAATCTTCAGCAAAAGCTAGTTGTTGCTGTCGTTAGTTTTTTTCAATTTCCGGTTGATTCACTCACCGGAAATCAACTCCATCGCCACCATTACACTCATCAGCACTTTCTTTTTGAAAACCCCAACATTCAAACCTTCAACTGTTCGCTAATCATCAC